GGGCCCATCCTCCCAGATTTAACACTGGCGACGAGGATGGGATACGGAGACAACGAAGCCTACTGAACACTCGCTGAAGCTGAAGGAGCACGTGGCTGACAGAGCACAGCATCGGCAACATGGCCAGCAGCGCTATACCAACTGCCCCATTCGATCCAGCCAGCGAGGACTGGGACTCATATATGGACAGATTTCAAATGTTCCTGGAGTCCAACAGCCTTAAAGATGCCACGCCCAGCAAGAAACGAGCAGTTTTTCTGACGCATTGCGGACCCGCTGTTTTTAAAATGGCTAAAGCACTTGCGAAACCGGCTGAAGTCAAAACAATGGACTGGGATACCCTTGCTCCCATCCTTCGCAACCATTACGCCCCAGCAGTACCGACTCTCATTTGCAGACACGAGTTTTACCAGAGGGACCAGCGTGAAGGTGAGAGCATCGGGGATTTCGTGGCTGACCTGAGAAACCTGGGCGGATTATGTGGCTTCGCCAATCTAGAAGAAGCCATGAGAGACTGAATTGTCCTTGGCCTGAGAGATCCAACTGTCCAAAGCAAGATCATGGCCAAAGGAGACATTTCTCTTGCAGATTCCATAGCAGATGCCACTGCAGCTGAAGCCACTCGTAAATCAGCAGCACGAATGTGCCGAACCAGTGGGGCCAACTGCCAACCCACCAACGATACTGGGAAGCCTTCAGACAAATACACATCGGCCACCCATCACGAAGATGTCGAATCCTCCTCAGACAGTGAGGAGGAAGAAGTCCACAGACTCCAGTCAGAACGTGAGCAACGGGACCAGCGGGGTCGTAAATCGAACTACCAATGTGCCAGGTGCGGTGGGAACCACCCACGATCCAAGTGCAGATTCCTAGATGCCATCTGTCATTTTTGTGAAAAACGAGGACATATTGCTAAGGTATGCAGAAATAAAAGAGGCTCCAGCCCCAGACGGAGAGGGAACAGCCCAAAAAGAACCGATGGCAACCCCACCACACAGAGGGACCGCCCGAGCAACCAGTGAAACCAGTACAACAGACCCCGAAGGTTTACTGGCATGCCCAGACGAGAAGAGGCACATCAGACCATCACCATCGGCCACGCTTCATCACTAGATACAAAAAAAATCCGTGTAGAAGTCACCATCGAAAATCAACCATGCATCATGGAAGTAGACTCTGGGTCTTCCCTATCCATGGTCTCCTGGAAAACCCTTAAACAACTGATTCCCAACATTCGCCGCTGAGATCTCAGCAGTCAGAGACTCATATTAAAAGATTACCAAGGCAACCAGATTCCAGTTGCGGGTACCAGCCATTTCCAGGTCTCTTTCAAGGGACATACTGCAATACTACCACTCACCATTGTTGATAGAGACCAACCAAGCCTACTGGGCCTTCAGTGGTTCATGCCTGTGGGAACTATGATTCTTTGTTCTTTGTGTACGTGCTAGGACAACGGAGCCTTCTGGTGGTTGGCTGGAACACGAAGCAAGGAGCAAAGACAAATTGTTGCCATTTCTTAACCAGAACTGTAGCAAACTTAAACTCTGCAGCCTTGTATGCTTTATGCGAATGATCAGTGCATGTTGTGTGATGTAATGCATTTGTGATAGGACATTAACAAAATTGCTATGTTAACAAAGATTGCTTCTAATAAAAGAGGGTTTTGGAGTTCTCTCTGCGCTCTCATCCCAAGACAACTTTGCCAAGTGTCTTCTTTTCATGAGAGACCACCACAACTGGTGACCCCGACGTGATCCACTCAAAAGAGATACGTCTTTGGCACACCCATTCTCATCGTCTGGAATAGACTTGGTGCACCTCATCCGCTTGAATCGCTGGCGACAACGGATCCCTCGTGAGTATGGGTGGTAGATTCTCTAAGGAGCAGGCAGCTCACATTCAGGAAATCAGAGAATTGACGAAACGAAATTTTTTTACCTTTAAAAAGGGGGGCTCCCTTCATGCCCCCCTCCCAAAAACCTCTATTGAGGAACTCCTAGAATACATTTGGCAACACTGCCCTTCTTATCCGGCTAAAGGCAGTATCAAAACTACAGTATGGAAGGAGATTGGAAAATACCTTCATGCAAGTCCTAGGGCTCCTTCGTCTATATTAATTGCTTGGAGGGTGGTTTTTGAGTCTCTCTCCTCTCTAGAGCAACCCCTACTTGGTGTGTGTGGGGGGATGCTACGTGGCCCCCCCAAGGCCCCTTTTTTGCTCCCAGGAGGCTTCCCTGAGGCCCACTTGGCCAAAAACCCGGCACGGGGGGGTCCTGCAAAAGAAAAGAAAGAAAAAGAAAGAGGGAGGGATGGGAGAAAGAAAAGGAGGGAGGGGAGAAAGAGAAAGAAAAAAAGAAAAAAGAGAGGGGGGAAGGAGGGAGGGGGAAAAGGAGAGGAAGGAAGGACCACAAACCTTACCACTAGACCAAGGGTCTTCAAACTTTTTTTTTAAACTTTTCTTTTTACTGTACCATTGATTTACCCAACTATAATGTATTTCTACAATTGTTTGTCAACCATAGCAAGGTCTAAGCCAAGGGTCCTCAAACTTGGGAAGTTTAAGACTTGTGGACTTCAACTCCCAGAATTCCTGCGCTAACATGACTGGAGGAGGAATTCTGGGAGTTGAAGTCCTCAAGTTTTAAAGCTGTCAAGTTTGAAGATTCCGGCACTAGACGCAGCTTCAGAGGATGCTTTGAAACAGCACAGCAATCCAGGACTGGAAGGTACCTTGAGATCATCTAGTCCAACCCCCAGCTCCAGAAAGTGGCTTTGTCTTTTTAACCCCCCCATCACATGACCATATAGCCACGCCCATAGAACCAGTAGTAAAATTTTTTGAATCCTACTAGACACACACACACACACACACACACACACACACACACGGAGGGAGGGAGGGAGGGAGGGAGAGGAAGGGAGGGAGGGAGAAAAATATGACATTGGAAGAACAATCACACACCCTTTGACTGTAATAGTATTTTTTTTCAAACAAGGAGCGGGAACAGCTTATGAAACTTTTGTAGGTTCATCTTAACTTTTGACTGAGCCAAAAGTTAAAAGGGATATGCAGACAGAGGATAGGTTTAAGTAGATAATATCTGCAGTAGTACCTACAATTAACTGATATTTGCCGAAAGAAAACTAGAAAAACATGACAGGAACTTAGGCTCACAAGGAAACTAAAACAAGGGCTACTTGGCTATATCAAGAAATAAAAGGCAAAAGTCAGTCGACTGCTAGGAAAATATAGTAGGCAGCAGCAGGCAGTGGAACTGGCTAACTGGTAAGTTCTCCTTCTCTAAGAGTGTTCAGATAGAGGTTGGTTGATCATCTGTCAGAAATGCTCTAGTAGGTCCTATATTGAGCAGAAGATTGGGCTACATTTTATTCTATTCTCTCTGTGTCTCTGTCTCCTATCTATTTAAATTTTTTATGCCTTCCATCTCCCCTATAAGGTGACTGTGATATTTCCAGTTATAATAAGAACTTCCCTTTGGAGGTCTTTAGAAAGTTGCCTTGCATAAACCGGAGATAAAATCTGCTTCATGGTGTAACAACCACTCTCTAACCACTCTCCTCTTGTCATACTACAGGTTTTCCATTTGTGCCCCCCCCGCCCCCCCCAAAAAAAGAATTCTGAGTTATACGCGTAAGCATAATTTAGCTTTGTATGTGTTATCTTTATTGAAAAGGTCATTGTTTGGTTCATTTATTTATGAAACTGACTGGATATTTGAGAGGGCAGCAGCTGAAACTGAAATTATTGTGGAGATAACAGTGTGATCCTTTCCCTTAATTCTCAGGTTCTTGGTGCTTTCACAGAGTCTCACAAGTTTTCAAGAGAGCTTAGGAAAGAACCTGGAAACCTCATGAGATAGCACACAACTTCAGCATTCCTGTAATACATTCTGCGTGAAATCACTGAACATTTATGAGACTTGGTAGTCTTCTCAAGATTTCCTATATTTTATTTTTCTAATATATGTTAATTAATGGAAGTACAAATTGAGTTTGGATATGTTGCCAAACTTTTGGTCCTTTTCATTTTAAAATCATAAGTACTAATAGAATTTATTCTTATTTTTTCCTCAAAATTTTGTCTCCTGGCTCTTATTCCTCATTTCTGGGAATTGGGACTTGAGGTTGTTCTCTTTAGCAAAGCAGATCAAGTGCCACCTGGTGAAATGGATACCTAGGTTATCTTAGATTAGCCACTAGTCCTGGTAACAGAAGAGGATGGGACTCTTAGTGCAAAACTAGGAAAGCTTGCTTTAAACTACATACTTTTATAAAACTGGAAGATTTTTACTTCATATCTCCTTATTCTGCAAATAATGCCAACAAATTCAGCATAGTCACATTAGACCAGGGTATCTCAACCTTGTGTGGATTTCAACTCCCAGAATAAAAGTTGCTAAGGTTGAGAAACATTACATTAGAGCAGTCAACAGCCTTCATGGGAATTGAATTGAGAGGTGTATTTGACTTCATTAATGCTGGGTGGGGTTGGTAAAGAAACAAGATTTTTACCTTGTTTATCTTGTTTTGGATTTATTAATCTGTATTTTGTATCTATTATTATAAAAAGCTTGTTTGCCTGGAAAATGTGTTTGAATCATTGTTGCATGAATCTTTGGAATAACTTGACAAATAGATGGAACAAAGTCTGATTTCATTTTTAATTTTTTAAAAAACATTCTTCTTAAAGTTTACAAATACTAATGCAAACTAAGAAAAATATTTAAAAAGGAGTGCTGAAATAGAGAAAATAAAAGAAGAAAAAAATACACTCCCCCCTGCCTCCAGATAAGTGTAAACAACTTCAGTAACTTAACACCTTCTCTAGTATTTCAGTTAATTCAATTCCAATATATCAATCCCTTATCAATAATCAGATTGTAAAAATCCATCATTCAGTTCTAACCAGCAAAAGTTTAGCAAAAGCTATCAGAAACAATAACATATATATTTTAACATTAATCAAATAAATCCAGTTTGTATTCTAATGTATCACTCTCTCTAAGAGATAAAGCAAAAGGAATATCTCCCCATTTATAAACAGATCTTTAAAACCCTGGTCAAAAAGAAATTCCATAATTATAACCAGAAACCATTATACATAACCCTGGTCAAATAAGTTCATTTTATATTCCTCCTCTTTGAAAAACCTTGGTCTTTAATCTTTGGTAATGTCACACAAGTTGATTTGTTATCATTTTATCTTTTTCTTATTTTGGGAACAGCTTCAGTAGTTAAACACATACCTTTTATAAATTCAAAAAAAAAATAAATTCAGTAATTCTTCTTATTTGCATATCCCCTTTAGTTATTAAGACATCAGTGGGTTTCAACTGGAAATCCATTCTGGCATCATTCTAGTAGCCTGACATTTTAAAATCTATTTTCAAATCCACAGCATCTTTTTCCATATCAAACATGGCATTTTAAAAAAATTCATTTTCAAATTCACATTCAAATCAATCCCATTCTCTGTTTTATCTAGTAAAATCTGTTCTCCCATATCCCGTGTTAAATCCATTTTTATAATATCAGACAAGTAAGTAATTTCCGAGTACATTGTTCCTAAACTTAATTTCTTCTATAGTCAAATAATATTGCTCCATTGTATTTATGGCTTTCTTGTTCTTTAATTGTAATCTTTAATTCTTTCTGGTTGTTCTAATCATTCAAAGTCTTCTCACATCATATGTTTACTTTCCAATCATCAAAACTTTCCCATTGGTGGATTTCTCAGTTAATTTCAAAATCTTCATAAATTTTTATAACATTTTAAATACCTCACAGAAAATATTTTTCATGTCCATTTTAGCCCCTTAACTTTCCAGAAATAACATTCTAGTCAACAACAGAATCCGGTGTCTTCTTGAAGGTGCTGAACCACGACTAAGGATGATTTTCCTCCAGCTTCCAGGCCTCTCAAACCCATTAGAGATCACTATGATCTCATTGCAGGAGCAACCTGTGGGTGGACAACCATGTAGGTGACCCAGTGACCACATAGTTGGGTTTTTACTCCATGATGACATATCCCCAACCTGTTCTTTCAAGTCTTCCAATGGTGCCACCATCACCACTTTGAGTCCGTCACTTTGCTCTTCTTCTCTTTCCTTTCACCTTTCCCAACATTAGAGCCTTTTTCAGAGACCTCGGACTTCACATAATGTGCCTGAAGTAGGATAATATGAACCTGCCATTCGTGCCTCAAACAAAATTTCTGGGTTGATTTGTTCAATGATCCATTGGTTTGTTTACTTGGTTGTACTCTCAGAAGACCTCAGGCTGCATTCCAGATAAAAAAGAAGTCATGGCTTCAGATTTTATGATTCAGAGAATATTATGTATCGCACAGCCTGTTTTTCACAAGAAATGCATGTCAATTTGAACTGACCATACATGCACATTAATTTTATCTTAAAAATAATGCATAATACTAAATCTATGGCAAGCTATGTTTCTTTTTAAAAAAATATGTCTAGAACTATACTTTTATTAAACACAGCCTGTTTTATTTCTGACTATTGAGAGGTATAAAAGGAATGACAAAGTCTCTTGAAGGGGAAAGAGTCAGAATTTACTGGCCGTTTTTTCTTATTTTGGGTTGAAGAATATTTGTTCCATTATTTAACCAAAATAGGTGTGCTAGGATATTAACATACCTATTTTTCCTTATTTTATAAGAAACAAATCAACAAAAACCCTGGAAAATGAAATGTGTTGCTGACGAATGTCAACCATACCATTTCAGAATGATCTGGGCCAGAAAAAGAAGGTAGGATGAAATCTGCCTGTGAGCCATTGATTACTTATGTTTGATCCACAGCCTCTCTTGCCTGGAAAGAGAAATCCCATTACACTGGAGGAAAGGGTGGCGCGGTGGGGGGTGGTGTGTGGGGTGGAGAGGCAAAAGAACTGCTGTTTCTTATTTTATACCAGATGTGCTGAAGAGATGGAATGGGGAGGAGGGATGGATTTCCCTCTCCTGCTTGTTTGGGAGGGGAGCTGTTTACAATTAAAGCAATGTACAGGGTGTGTGTGTGTGTATATCCTTTTATTTTATGCCACCAATAACTACTTCTCTAAAAAAAAAGTTGAGCTAAGAGAAATTGATTGATCTAAGTCACCCGGTGAGCATCATCTGTCAATTTTAAAGTTTATGTGTCTTGAAAAGTGACTGGGCAGACAGCTGTGTAATATTCTACCACTAAGCTAGTAGGTCTACTAAATCCTATCCTGAATCTAACATATATCACTTATTGAATAGCAGCTGTTCTCGATACCTTTCTTTGACACAAACTAACCACTGAGAGTTTAAAAGAAAATTTGATGAAGCAAAATGTGTTTTCTTTTATTAAGTGGTTTTTATTGAAGTTTTTAGGAAACATAATATAAACTAATATAAAATGAGGAAGAAAAAAGAAAAAGGAAAGCAAAGAGAAAGCAAAAAATGCAAGAAAAGAAAAAAAATGTTGAAAAATAGAAAAGGAAGGTAAAAACCCCAGAAATGGCTTCCAGAATTTTTTTCACAGAGGTTACAAGTACCATTATGTCTTAATTTCTCTGTGAAGTTGCATCATGATATTCTTTCTATAATCTATCCTGTTTAATTATCAAAACCATAAACCATATTTTTTTCTTTTTCTTTTTGACCAATAAATGTAGGTAATGTCTTTTCTCTAATCCAAGAATTTAATTTATCTATTTTGGGGCAAATTTCCCTCAGAAGTATACCCTCAAAAGTGCTATGTGGTTGAAGGAATGAAACAGGAAAGAGAGGGACTGGGCTCCCCAGTTAGATTCTATGCAGATTCACCTGCAGCATTATTATTCTTAGCACAGACATCCAGTTTTAAATATAATCAATTTATTAAATAGTAGTCTTCTATTACTGAGCAAATAGGATATAATGCTATTGATTATAATTAAATATTTATTGTTAAACATGTGCAAACAGTTTAGATTTTGGTTGCATAAATAATCTTGAGAGAAAGGCTGTATTATCCAAATTCTCAGAAAGATAAATGAGGTCTTCCGGAGGGCATGAAGTGAAATCACATATGAATTGTATATTGAAAATATTTATTAGTAGATGCCATAGGCTGATGTAAACATTAATACTTTAGCTAATAAGAGTTTGTCCCAGCATGGGACACTGCAATGACACTCTTCTGTCTTCCAGGATCAATCCAAGATAGTTGGTATCTCAGAGACATTTTTATCACTTATCCTCTTGTTTTATCAGGTAACATTTCTTTTAGCCAACCTTCAACAACCCTTGGCAGGGCTGCTAATGTTTATGAATACAAATTTCTATGTCGAGATATTCTAGCCTTCCTGAACAATGGTAGTTATAAGCATACTGTAAATATACCTGTTTCACACAGCTGCATACTCATTTTGTTTAATTTCATTTTTTTTAGAGTGGAGTAAAGTATATTTGGAAAATTTGTGTTTACAACAGCCATATGGAGCCATTTGTGAGTCAAGCAGAAGAATGAGATTCTTGTAAGATGGCTATGTATAGTCTATTTTAAAAGGGTATTTGTTGTTCTCTCAGTTCTGATAGGAAAATAAGGATTGCATTCACTCTTTGTTGAACCATCCTTGATCTATAGCTTCAGTAGACTTGAGAAGTCTGATGCATTCATATATATTTTGTATATATTTGTTTGAAGCAGACATGCTTCCCCCTCAGAAGCCAGATGTCGAACATTGGGTGGAAGCCCTGGCACAAGGCAGGAGCTCAGCCATGGCTAAGGACCAAGCCCCTAAAGCTGAGTCCCTGGCATAGATGATCCCTACCGCACCTCTGGGGTGAAGGTCTGTGAAAGACCCTTGGAGGCCAGCCGGCTGCCGGTCATCGCTGCCCACCCCCTCCAGGCATCCTTCGGCTCCAAAAGCATCCCCCAGCATGCCCCATGCTCTGGCAAGGGCCCCCAGGATCATTCCAGCCCATCCCTGCGCCCATCTCCCAGTCCTGCAAGCCGCTGCCAAAAAGCTCTCTGCCCCTCCAGCTGCCCCTCGCAAAGGCTGGTCCCCCGGCTGCCACTCAAGCTGCTTCCTGCGACAGACCCCAGCCTGAAGCCTCGCTTGCTAGACCTCCAGAGCAGCCCCTCAGCCAGCTAGCTCACCTCCCATGGCGCTGGAGCCTGCCGGCCCTCCTGGCAAGCCAAAAGAGCCCACGGAGAGCCAGCCGTGACCCACAGCAGCCCCTGCCTCCTTGTCCCCGGGACCCACGCACATCCTGCACAACGGAGCCTGGCCAGGTTCACTGGTGGAGCAGCAGTGGTGGCTGAAGCAGAAGGCAGACATCACCCAGGGGTTGCAGCAAAAGGCTCGGCAACTCCAGGAATGGAGCCCCAAGGACTGGGTGGTGCTCTATTGCCTTCTCAGGGGACACGAAGACTTCCTTGGCCTTTTAAGAGGAGGAATAAATCCCGCTGGGCTTCTGAGAGGACGAGGAGATCCTTCTGAGCTTCCCAGAGGAGGAGACACCATTGGGCTTCCGAGAGGAGGAGGAGACCCCATTGGGCTTCTGAGAGGAGGAGGAGACCCCTCTGAATTTCTGAGAAGAGGAGAAAATCCCCTTGGGCTTCCGAGAGGAGGAGAAAACCCCGAAGGACTTCCGAGAGGAGGAGACCCCAAAGGGCTTCCGAAAGGAGGAGACCCCTCTGAGTTTCCCAGAGAAGACCCCAAAGGGCTTCTGAGAGGAGGAGGAGACCCCTCTGAACTTCTGAGAGGAGGAGGAGACCCCATTGGGCTTCTGAGAGGAGAGGACTCTGTTGGGCTTCCCAGAGGAGGAGAAAACCTCTCTGAGCTTCCCATAGGAAAAGACCCTGTTGGGCTTCCCAGAGGAGAAGCCCCCAAAGAGTTTCTGGGAGGAGAATCCCCCGAAGGGCTTCCAGGAGGAGGAGAAGATGCTGCTGGGCTTCCGAAAGGAGAAGAACCTGCAGGGCTTCCGAGAGGAGAAGAGCCCGTTGGGCTTCTGAGAGGAGAGGACTTTCTTGGGCTTCTGAGAGAAGACCCCTCTGAGCTTCCCAGAAGACCCCTCTGGGCTTCTGAAAGCAGAAGACTTCTGTTGGGCTTCCAAAAGAGAAAACTCTGTTGGGCTTCCCAGAGGAGGAGAAGACCCCATTGGGCTTCCGAAAGGAGAAGACCCCGAAGGGCTTCTGAGAGAAGACCCCTTTGGGCTTCCGAGAGGAGGAGAAGCCCCTGAAGGGCTTACGGGAGGAGAAGATGCCGCTGGGCTTCCGAGAGGAGGAGAAGATGCCACTGGGCTTCCGAAAGGAGACCCTGCTGGGCTTCCGAATGGAGAAGATCCCGCTGGGCTTCTGAAAGGAGGAGAGGACCCCGTTGGGCTTCCCAGAGGAGGACAAGACCCCTCTGAGCTTCTCAGAAAAGACCCTGCTAGGCTTCCAAAAGAAGACCCCACTGGGTTTCCCAGAGCAGGAAGAAACCCCGCTGGGCTTCCCAGAGAAGACCCCAGTGGATGACGGGCAGCAGAGCCCTGAACATTGCCTTAAACAGTTGGAGAAAGTGCAGGAGGGTATTCTCCAGTATCTTGAAGAACAGATGGGACTCCTGAACAAACTTTACTGGGCCAAGAGTATAACATTCCATTATTTAGTGGAGAAAATTGACTAACTGAAGGCGGACATTGGCATCCACAGCCTGGAATATGAAGAAGGTTCTGTACCTGAAGTGGCTGGAGCTGCAACTCACCTGAATGATAATATCTATATGATCTCTCCCGGCGGATCTCTGGAAGCCCCCCATCTTCCACCTAGTGGTGCCCCATTTCGAGCCAGTTGCCTGAATCCTGAGATCTCCTTCGTGGTCATGGCCAGATGTGAAAAACGCAGTTACAGAAATCTGCCTGGGTGTAATTGGATCTCCAGCAATGGAGCCCTGCGACCACTTGCCAAAAACTCCCTGGAAGGAGAGGGATGAGCAGGGTAAGGAACGCCCTGGCTCACGGGTGCCACCAGAGCTTTCTTGCCCAAGGCGCCAGATCCCGAAAGCGACTGCTTGCAATATGCTGCTTGCTTTAGTTGAGCATCTCCTTGGGATGACCCTTTTGTCCTGGGAACTGCTGGGGTAGCATTTCATAAGTGGCATCCCCCTTCTGCTTTATAAAAATGTAAAATACATTATATATATGTGTGTGTGTGTGTGTGTGTGTGTATGTGTATGTGTATATGTATATCATGCGGGGGTGGGGGTGGAATTATACATGTCTGTTCTTGCTTGAGGGGTATATATTGTATCCCCCCCCCCCATGT